ATGTACAAGTCATTTGTCAGAAAACAAAAGCAATGGAGGAAAAACACTAAGACAAATTATTTTAACAATTCTTCTAATCAAAAACATCCACTATTTTGTGGAGCAGATTTGAAAGAATAAAACAGTGGTTTTCTTGCTGTATGCTGCTAAAACTAGCTATACATTGTTCAGTTTAACACAAAAAAAAAGCCATAAAGTAAATAGCAACTGCAGGATTTAAAAAATGCAGAGAGAGATGAGGTATTTGCTAAGCTGTATTCCCTTTGAGCAAGGAAACCTGAATATTACAAAGGGCTGAGTTAGAAGGGAATGTGGGGTATTTTGTGACAGACCTCTGCATGACAGCTGGAGAAAAGCTATTGTGGCAACAGCTGTGTGCTCTGCACAGCTCATACTCCCAAATACCTCAGCCTGCTAAGAGGCCAGTTAACTGGCTGCAATGCATTTTAAAAGTTTTGCCTCTTGGGATATGAGCATGATGGATTATTTGTGTATGTTTTAAATAAGAGAAGGAATGCTTAGTTCTACCACTTAAGTTTTACAGAATGCTGTGGTGTGTTGCTGAACTATCACTTGCTGCTGCTTTCCTAAAGTTCATAGCTATGACAGACCCCATCAACTCTCCTCTACAATTAAAACATCTTCACTTCCTGTCTAAACAGTGCACAGACTCAACAGCAGTAGGTTCATATATCATATCCTGATTCAAAGGAAATGATTTTGTATTTCCAGGATGAAATCCTGGCTCACCAGCAGCAATATCAAGCTCTGTTTACCTCCCCAGAGGAAGAATTTTGAGGCACGCACCAGTCATATAACCACTGAAAGCTTTGATCTACTAATTGATAAAAGTTTCTCCAACTTGTTAGATTAACTTCTGAAAAGTGAACCCAAGATCACAGGCAATTACACACAAGTGACCAGTCCCATCTCATGTTCCATTGCTACTGCACTGCACTCATTAGCACAGCGATGCTGAACCCAGGACATGAAAGGGCTTTCATTGTATGCCTTGGGTTTGCTTGCTCAGCCTTCTTACAAAAACATTGTTTCAGCTCAGATTGAAGCACAACGATCTTCAGGAACTCTTGAACAGGACAGCGGTGCACAAGAGCACTTTACATGGTGATCACCACCATAATAACAGTCCAATCTCAGCAATTACTACTGTTGCAAGATCAAATGCTATCTGTTCTCCCACCAACACACTGAAGGCTGGAAAGGATGGATGTGCTGTGCACAAATCCCAGAAAGCTGGCAAATGAAAGAAGATGAACTAGTTCTTCCTACATCCTCAGTTCCTCATTTTCATTTATTTCACCTGAAACGAAGGAAGACTTTCTCATTTTCAAATATGTATCCTCCTGAGTCTTTCAAAGATACAGCATAAAACACAGCACATGCTCTCCCATGATAACCTATCACCTCAACAGTCTTGTTTACTGGAAAATAAGCAGCAGAGCTGAAGTAGAAGCAAGACTACCTGTACTTGAATACTCTTCACTGAAAATTAAACACAGGATCGTGCAAAAGTCCGAGTGTGGAAACATTTGCTAGTTTCATTAAGCAGAAACTTTTTAAGCTTCAAAACTGAGTTGGCCAGATTTCAAGGCAAGCAATAAAGAAACAAAAGAGAATTTAAATCCTTCATGGACATCAACATTTGTCATGTGCCAAGAGCTAGTACAAATTCTTGTTTTAGTGAAGGCAACTACGAGTTTGTCACTTAATCCTAAGAAATTCCAAAAATGAAGCATGTGACCTGCTTGTAATCAATTTTAAAACAATTTGGAGCAGTTTCTGTGCAGTTTTAAAAGACAAACAATGTACTTGGCAACACACTTGCTACACAGAAACCACAGAAACAGTTGCATGGCATTGCACACACTTGATAACATCATAAGCTCTAAGAGCTCAGGAAGATACTGTGGTATATAAATAATACACTAAGCCTCACTCACCTCTTGTTGTCCATAACTACATAGCAAGCATGGAAGCAATAACAAAACTCTTATCTAAGGCACCTGAATTTCTGTTCAGAAGGTTCTTATTGCCCAACTGTTTCTCATTTTTTTTAGAAGGCTGAATTTTCTGCTAAACATCACTTTGTGGTGGCAAGATTTTATCTCAAGATAAAGCATCTAGGAGGGCAAAACTATGTAGATAATTTAATAAAAAACAACAATAAGTTGTTCTGAAAAATTCACCCTCAACACGTCAGCTTAACACTGCAGTGCTGTTCCTTCACCACACTTTCAAAGTGAACTATTACTTTTTCTGCTATTAATTTGAAGGGATGCTTATAGGTGACAAAGCACATGTAGGTTCCCCTTTTGCAGATCTTTGCTGGAAGCGCCACAACACTTGAGCCACAACTTTCATTTCTACAGTGCTGCAGCTCAAGCTTTTATTTCAAAGCATGACTACCAGCATTAAAATTAGGAAAGTATCCAGTACTGGGGAGAACCTTACTGCTATTAAAATAAACGGACACACCAAAGCACCAAGTGTGAGGGTCACTTTTTTCTTCTCTCCTTATGTCTTTTTTATTAAAGTTTTGTTTTTTTTTTTGGTGAAGCTAAAACTATCAAAAAGCCTTTAGCACAGCCAGGAACTCAAGAGATCCTTTCAGCAACATTTTCCGAGATAGCAGCACCTCAGAACTGAACACAGGCCATGTCCAGCTGCACACACTACTGTCACAACCAGTTTCATGTCTACAGGAAGACACAGATAATACCATCTAAAGCAATACTACCATGTCTGAGTGAGTGACATTCTAAACCAGCTTCAGTCAACCACAGTAATTATGTCTATATACAAGCAATGAGGAGTTCAATCCCCACACCAAGAGGGCTGCAGTTGTTCTAGCCCCATCACCTTCAAACAAATCAGAGACATTATCTGCTCTGCTATCTACACATCTGACAAACAAGGCACCTGTACAACACAGGTTTCCTTTCCACCTTAAATGCACTGTTCAAACTGATTTACAAAGAACTAATTCTCCTACAGTGACAATTATTTTAATGTCCTGTATAATACTGGATCTTCTAAGCAGTCATTACCCAGTACTTACTCCTACCTTTTATGCAGTCTATACAGTCTACATTGCAAAGCTTAAATTCTCAGAGTATCACAGCTAAGGAGCACACGGACACACACAGCAGCAAAGAAAATCTGAAGAAACAGTCTTATCGGATCATTTAACAAAACATTTTTTGATAATATCATTGCCCTAAGCATTAAATGAGCTGCTTGCCTTGCTGATAAGCAGCCTATCTTAAGTGTCTGCATAATACTATGGTCTCCACTTGGTACAAATAAAGAGAATAAACAAAAAGTCGTTCTCTCCAGCTTTCCTTATCTGCCATCAGCAATACCAGCAAGCAGAGCACAAGTAGCTGTCTCCTCCTTTCACCATAAACACAGGCAGATTAATAACACTCCATGACAGCGGCAGAAATGCTAAAAGCAACAAGACAGAAGACAAAAATAAAAGGTATACGGCTGAATTAGCGGCAGAACGGGAAAAACTACTCTTCTTCAGCAGACTGATAACGCACACATCACTTATGCTGCTGTGGTTTTAACTGGATACGAACAGAAAAGAAGTCGAGCTGCCTGGAAGCGGCAGCCCCAGCAGCCGGAGCAGGGCGGGTCGGGGCGGGCACAGCGCTGCCCTGCCCTGCCCTGCCCG